TAAATGTTGAAAGCCCACCGGCCGACATAGCTCTATGTACAGGCACTGCAGTTGTTATTATGTTTTAAGATTTAACAGACCAACAATATAATGCAACAAATGTAACGTCAACATTTGTCATGAGCTGAATATCTCCAGAACCTATTATTGACTCAGATGTTGATAATGATACAGACACAAATGATATAGACACATGTGGTATTCTTGATGATGATTTTTTAGACCAACATCAACTTTCTATTGACCCCCATACCAATTCTGACATTACATCTGTATTTTGCAATCCTCAATCATTTTCAAGTGTCTTTACAAGTGACAATTTCTCAGATGTTTCACTGTCAGACCTACATGGGTTACATTTCTCAGCAGACAATTTTTATGACACTTCCTGTCCTGACCTAAATGAACATACTTCTTTAAATTCTTTGAGTTTCAGTATGGCAAAGTCAATACCTTGTTAAAAATTCACTGGGTATCCCCATGAAAATGGAGAAAAGTTTCTAAATGAATTTGATTCCTTCGCTACATTGATAAATGTTGATTCCTCTCCATGGAAGATAGCCGCGTTTCATCTTCATTAACAAGGCCCGGCCCTTACTTGGTGTAATAATCTTATCAAAACAGAAAGCAACCTGGGATACAGTGTTGGAAGCATTTAAGAACAGATTCCTCACACTAGACTGGCAGAATCCCCACATGCTCTCTGAAAGTGCCAATTTCCAAGCTTTGAGACTCCTTCCAGGACAACCAATAGAGGATTTCTATGGCCTTGTTCTTGAAAAGGGCAAAATGATGAACAAGTCAGAAAATGAACTAATGGCTAAATTTATAACTGGCTTGCCAACGGAGTTAGCAGTGTATGTTGGCACTGGTTCTCCAACAACTTTAGACCAGGCATTATCCAAAGCAAAAATGGCGGAGAGTTGTGGAGCAAGGGCGGACAACCCAGTTTGTGCTGTTACATCACCAAAACCACGTCCATCTGAAATAGAAGAACTTAAAATTCAAGTTAAATCCTTAACAGAAATGGTGTCAGTGTTAACCATGGAGAAGCGGACACATTCCCAGCCACGTCTACCTCATGCAGCTAGAACTCATAGTTCAAATCAGGATGATCAGAGGGAATGTTTTACCTGCTATGGTATTGGCCACCTACGTAGACAATGCAACTGGACTGGAGTTGGTGAGTCCGCCTCTGGCATTCAGTGTCAGATCTGCTTTCAGTTTGGGCACCCAGCGTTCCAGTGCCGCCAATTCCTGCCACCTCAGCAACGGCCCTTTTCTCACAGTGACCATCACCGGGGAAACTACAACAACCTGAGGAGAGATCGACTCAGCTCCTCAGGACCCCGAAAGTAAATACAGCCAATATGGGGTCAACCTCTAACGATGTAGAGCATCATGCTGCGTCTTCCACAACCAGACCACAATTTCTTTTCCTTCCTGTAACTATCAATAACATTAAAATTTCAGAGCTTTTGGACACGGGCAGCTCCTTAAATATTATCAGTGAGGATTTCTTTTCACATATACCTGAAACATTTAAATTTGCATTTGAAATCTCTGAAAATAGTGAAGTAACTCTTGCAAACAATCAGGCTATAACTCTCATTGGTACAGCAACTATTCGTGTGAATGTGTTGGGCAACACCCACAATATACCAGTTCACATCTTGGCATCAACATCTCATCCTTTGATTTTAGGAACTGACTATTTACAAGAAAAAGGTGTTATCCTAGACTTTTCTCAGCATTCCTATTCATTTGGACAATATTCTGTCAGATGCCTACATAGAACCACTATACCTGAAAATTCAGAAATGGTAATTTGGGGAAAAGTTCCTAACCACGTACTGTATTAATCCCAGGGAATTTGTACAGGTTGTACATATAGTTCCCACCAGCATCTTTTGATTGCGATGACGTTAGTGACAGTTTCTCGTGAAAACTCTGTTCCAATCAAAATTATGAACTTTTCTTGAGGGAAAGACTCTAGCTCACTTTACTTACACATCAATAGATGATGAGAGTTCTCGGTTATCAGATAATTTTGTTCAAAATATCCGGTTAACCTCCACTAAGGACAACAAATCAGAGAGTTACTTTTCCCACTTTGATATGCCTGATCATTTGTCTCCACAAGACCAGTCACAGCTCAAAGCTCTCTTATGGAAACATAACTGTTTGTTACTGCTGATTCACCTGATTTAGGTTACACCGATGTTGTCACTCACAGGATAATCTTAAAGCCGGATGCCAAACGTACTGTATGAATCCCAGGGAATTTGTACAGGTTGTAATCTTAAAGCCGGATGCCAAACCAAAACATCAATCACCATACAGACTTTCCCCTGACAAAAGAGAAGTTTTACGGCACCAGCTGGATGAACTCTTGCACCAAGAAATCATAGCACCAGTTAATGAGGCAGAGGAAATTATTATAACAAGCCCTGTGGTTCTTGTTTCAAAGCGAGGTAAAGGCAGTAAACCTACGAAACCAATCACTAAGGATTCAAGTCTTTCACAATTTCGTTTTTGCGTTGATTTCAGATTTGGAAACAAATTAGAAAGGGAAGTATTTTCAGATTTTTTTCAAATGATGGATCCATGCTTCCAAAAGACAATCACAGAAATTCATGAAAATTATCCACTGAATCATCACATTTTCAAAATGCTTCAGTCCTCTTACCAAAACATCATTTTAATTATTTATTTAGAATAACTTTAGGATAACAGTTTAGAAGTTGAAAATTTCGAGTCAGTAATTCCTCCTTCTGTATCAGAAGAGGATGATGCAGTCATCTTTAAAGCCAGTGTAAGTGAACTATTTTTCATCTAACCAGACTCAAGTGTAGAGTAATCATCATGTTCTGTTTTCTCAAAAAAAATATTGTTTACAATTTGTCAGGATGTGACAATCTGTAGCTGAATGAAAGATAGATCAATATCAAATATTCGGAATCAAGCTTAAATATAATACACACTGTCAGTAATAGTATAAACCTTAGTTATTATAGGCATATTAGTCAAAGCAAAACTTCTTAAACATGCTTTCTAGCTCACCAGAACTTGGTCCTTTTAGCATAGAAAATTTATTTTAAAAAGTTGATATTGTTTCTGATTAATGTCAAGATATGTGTCATGTTGAAACTATGAAGCTACAAGTGAGTTCTGTACTATGTTATATTGACAACTTTCTTCCCTTACGCGAGATATTATTGGTTGCTGACAAAAGCAATAACAACGTCATCACCCAGCAAGCAACCCTTACAAACAACAGAAAAAGTGACAAACTCCATTCCTGCATGTATTGCTGCCGAATGTATGCCCGTATATCACGACATTATACCCGAGTACATTCAAATGTTGCCAAGGTATTAGCCCTGTTTGAAAAGTCGAAAGCAAGGAAAAGCCTGTGGGCTGAAATCGTCAACGGAGGTGCTTCAATCACAATATCGGTATCATGAAAAACCAACAAGGAATGGTAATACCTAAATATCGACCAAGGACAAACCAGAATTGCATGACTAAATATGTTCCCTGCAAGTATTGTTTAGGCATGCTTGTTCCAACCTATCATTGGAAACATACTAGAAGCTGCAAAAGCAGAGATGATCCCCAGAAAGCAAAAGCATGGTACAGAGAAATGGTGAATAGTGGAAAACTGTTATAAATCACCAGCTGTTTGACAACATTCTTACAAAAATGAAGAATGATGCCATCACAAGGGCTGCGGAGAATAATGACCTGATTTTACTTTTCGGTGAGAGACTATATAACAAAAACGGACATAATTTCCATCAACATCAATATATTTCACAACGCATGAGGGAACTTAGACGATTCCTAATTCAGATGAGAAAGATGTTTCCGTCAGAATCACTCCTGCTCTATTCTTGCCTTCTGCCTGGCAACTGGGATAAGCTTCTGAAGGGATTGAAGCAAGTTGCAGGCTATAACGAAGAAACTCATGTTTATGACATTGCTTCTCCCCATTCAAACTAGGACACAGTTTTAGCAACTGCAGAAGGATTCCTTGAGCTGTATGAATCGGAATGGGCAGAAAATATTTCATCACATGCCTTAACCACATTGCTTAATTCTAAGTTCAACAAACCCCAGTATGTCCTACTGGCTGAAGATGAGAAAAGGCTAACAATTTATCTGAAGAAAAGAGCTGACGACTTAAAGAGAGTGTTGACTCCAAAGGCCTAGATGACTTGGCAGACGTTGTACAAGCACAATTAATCCTTTTCAACAGAAAAAGATGTGGGGAAACCCAAAGGATTTTCTATCCCTATGCAGTCATTTGAGGGGGCGGGATGTTATATATACAAACTATATGAGATGGTCAAGTTGCTAAATATATATTGAATACTTTTAATAGTTAAATTGTACCTGAAGAGTTATTTCCCTTACCATTTAATTCCGGATATTTCATTTCGTATCCTTTTTCATTTAATTATAATTTACTTTTTCTGGATTTTTAGTTTCTTATATTATGTATTTTTTGGTCATAAGGAAGTTTGAAAAAATATTGAAGTTTGAGAAGCTTTGGTTTTGAATGTTTTCCTGTACTGCACAGATGGGGGAATATGTAGCCCAGTGCATATATATATTAGTAATGATACCTATATTATATGTGGCACCCTGTTAAATATTATTAATACCTCATCGTTTTTACTTTCAGTGATGTGTACTATATGATAGTCAGGTATACTGCGTGGTCATGTGTACGTTGAGAGTATCCCTTGCTTTGATTTGTTATGTTGTACGGGTGATGTGCCGTTGCTACTCATTGTGTCACGTCTGCGTCGGTTGTATGTGTGAGTAAATATATGTATATTGCCCTGATACGAACGGATAACAAATAGCTGAGAATACTGATTAGGATTGTTGTCAAATCACGGTTTCAGTCCAATCATTATATAGTATTCGTCAACCCAAAATATGCATTGTACTATGGTCGTGCTCGATTCACTGGAACTGGTGCGAATCGAATGCGCTGGAACGGGAAGTGTATTTCCAATATGGCGACCAACGCCGTAACTTCTGTGTTGTCAGCTTTAGAAATGGATGAAGACGATGATAATTTCAAAGTAGATGAATTAGTAGGTGTGGCAATGGCTGCATATTGTGCTTGCTGGTAAGTTTCATTCACTGTGTCGTAAGTGAATCAAACTAGATTGTTTTTCGTCCTATCTAAGATAGTACGTTGCATCTTCCCGTTGTCGACACACAACATTTCTATCACGCTAGAACCACCAGCAACATGATTTTTCTGACAGACAATTAAACGACACGCAGTGTTCGGACTACAAAAAGAGATAATTTACAATTTTCACATGTGGCATTTACATGATATTCTAATAAAATTTATTTATTTATCCCAAAACGCAGGGCTACCATACATAAATAATAATCAATAGATTCTTGATTGATATTCATCAGTCTCCATATATTATATCACTACACACTTCATAAAAATTTTGATACAGATTCAGGGCGTTGTGTTTATTGTAAAGTTAAGTTGATTTTTTTTTATTTCAATTTCAGTGTTGTGAGAGAGCCAAGGTCAAGGATTTTGAATTATGCTGATACTGTAATACCAGAGTACAACGAGACAGAGTTTCGACGAATGTTTCGTTTGTCTCGAGAAACCTTTCAGAAAATGAGTAGCTATCTTAAAGATTGCCCGGAGCTAGTAGTTGGTGGAACTGGTGCACAAGAGCCTATTGCAGTTGAAAAACAGTTATATGTGACATTGTGGTACCTTGGTGGTTCAGATAGCATAATTAAAATAGCTGACAGATTTGGGATATCCGAGTCATCAGTGGTTTTATGTAGAAGACGGATTATTGATGCAATATTGAAAAATTTAAAACGCAAATTTATTTCTTGGCCGAAAAATCAATCTATGCAGGAAACTGTGGACAAATTTGAACAACGTAATGGATTTCCAGGCATTGAAGGCTCCCTGGATGGAACTCATATTCCAATACGTGCACCAAAAGAGAATGCTCAGACATATGTCAACAGGAAAAGGTTCCATTCTCTTCACCTTCAGGCTGAGTGTAATTCAGAAATGATCTTCACAGATTGTTTTGCAGGATACCCTGGTAGCTGCCACGATGCAAGGGTGTTGCGCAATTCTGACCTGTGGGAGAATGGTTTATTATTGTGTAACGGCAATCATATAATTGCTGATGGCGCTTATCCCCTTCGTAGATGGCTCTTGACACCATTTAGAGATAATGGACATCTCGCATATCAACAAAAGAATTTCAATTACATGCTGTCTGCAAACAGAGTTGTGATAGAAAGAGCATTCGGCTTACTGAAAGGCAGATTTAGGCGACTAAATTATCTGGATACTCAAAGTATTAAAACTGCGGTGAAAATAATAATGGTATCATGTGTTTTGCATAACATTTGTTTAATCCACAACGATGAATATGATGATTACTTGGAAATAGATCCAGCACTAGACTGTCCCCAACAACAAGCCATGCATATGCATGAAAATGACAATAAACAGGGTTCGACACTAGCGGTAGCCCGGTAGCCCGGGGCTACCAAAATAACTGACGGGCTACCAAAGATCCCATACCCAGTAGCCCGGCGGGCTACCAAATCTTTTAAAATATACCAATTCAGTATACCCACATTTATTTAACGAATTCGTCCGTGTTTGGTCGTCAAAACTAAATCTAAATGTAGAACCATCCCGTTCACATTATTTACGTCTTGCGTCATTTCAAGCGTGTTTTGGAGTATCTCACAGCGTCATTCGGGCGTTTGAATTTCTAGCTATCTTCCGCTGAGCACGGAAAGCGCTAGATTGACAGCGAGAACTTCTGACATTTCCAATCATGGCTTCCATGTGGCGGTGGCTGGACGGCACCCCTCCTCCTAAGAAGCTAAAGAAGACGAAGACGTCACCAGAGGAAAGCGTCACAAAAAAGGCATTGCAATATGAAGCGGTCAGACAGAGGACTTTCCAGTCGAACTGGAAAATTAACTATAATTGGTTAATTTTTCATGACGGGAAAATGTACTGTCGGGTATGTCAAAAGTACGACAGTAGCAATAGTAATAATTTCGTGAAAGGGACAAATAATTTCAGGCTTGATCCAATAAAAAAACACGACCAGTCAGACAGTCACCGTAGGTCAGTTTTGAAGGAAAAGGCAGTTACATCAATGCCAGGAACATCAAAAGCTGAAAAAACACTTGTGATGATGAACAAGGCTGCAGTGGGGAAATTATGTACATTGTTTAGAAACGCTCATTTTGTAGCAAAGTCAAGAAGGCCTTTCACAGACTTTGTTAAGTTGTGTGACTTGGATCAGGCCAAGGGTACTCAGATAGGAAACGCATACAGGACAGATAAATACTGCCAACATTTCATAGCTGCCATTGCTGACACTCGCAGACATGAGCAGAAGGAACTGGTGGAGAAAGCCCCTTTCCTTAGTATTATTTCTGATGGAGCCACAGACTGTGCATCAAAGGAAACAGAAATAGTCTACCTACGGTCATCGTTCATGTGCAAGGTATTCATTTATATTTTCACGATGTCTTTCGCCCAGTTTGAAATTCCAGATGATCACGTGATGTACTTGCAAATTTTGACTGTCTCCTATCAAAACAATACATGCTTGTTTCCAAGCTGAGAATGTAAAGTTTGAACATAATGCTAATCTTTGACATTTTTGCATATATCAGATGTTGTAATTATGAAAATAGTCCATTAAGTACTTCAATGTTTACCACAAAACAGTTAGTTAAAGAAAATGACCAAAGTTTAATGATTTAGTAACTTTAATTTCTTGTCTTACTTATGACCAATTATTATCTTGATAATTCTAAAAAAAAAAAAGAATCACTTCTTTTGTCTCTTAATATAGGTATCTACCTTCTTTGCTGGTCTGAAACATGTAGGAAAAGCCGATGCACCTAACATCACGAGGGCAATTTCTTCCTTATTAGATAGGAGGTTTGGGGACTCATGGAGAAAAAAAATTGTGGCAATGGGTACGGATGGTGCGTCAGTTATGTTGGGGAAGAAAAGTGGTGTAGTGGTCAGGATGGCGGAGGAAACAGAACGACCATATTTGAAAGCCATACATTGTTCTGCTCATAGGCAAGTGCAAATAATTGATCATTGAATTTTAAAAGAATTGTATAGTAAGTCTCTCAGTATACATAAGGTAGCTTCAAGTAATCTGCAGTCTTTGTGATCAATGTTATTTTTATGGAATATAAAAAAAAGGAATAGATTTTTTTACAGATCTGAACTACTTTTGCAACTTTGAAAGTTTGTTTATACAAAATATAGTTTCCTTTCTTTTTTGACCTTAGGTTAGAGTTGGCATATAAGGACTCCATCAAAGACATCCCAATACATCAAAAGTGTGAGCTTCTCCTGACCAACTTGTATTTATTTTACAAGTGAGTAGTTAATTATAACTGGCTTAAAATAATAGACATTACTTTTTGAGTGTAGAATAAAGTAATTATACCAATTGTAACAGTTACCATAGGTACATTCATAGTAAGTACTGCAGTACCACATGATGATTGAATCTGATTTTCATTTCAAAAACATGCTACCCAAAGGTGTGATTAAAAGTGTTACACCTGCTAAATCATAACCACTTGGCCACATGTCCCTTAATTTTATAAGCTAGCAATGCTGCATGTACAGTCTAGTATTTTGATTTTGTATAAATGATTTCATAACGTTCTCCTCTTCTGACTGTTTTTTTCCAGATACAGCCCTTTAAACAGGAGCAATTTGAAACTGGCTGCCGAGTCAATTGGGAAAAAAGCCTATGTACCATCACGCACAGGAGGGACCAGGTGGTTACCGCACACTAAACGTGCTTTGCAGAATTTTAAAGCTGGATCAGAAAGCATTGTCCTTCATCTTGAGCAGGTAATTATGATCACACCTATCTTACAAAGGTGTTGTCTGTCATCAAAGTCTGCTATTTCTTGTATTATGTTCCAGGAACAGTTCATTATGTAGGGTAAGATTTTAAGTTAGATTAGTAGTTGAATATGTAATTACATGTGGTATATTATAATTATGTCTAAGATGGAAAGATTGAAAACTATCTACAACTGTTGTTCATTCTTTTAGTCATATTCCTATAATGAAATAATTATATTCATGTTGTCTTGACTTTGTAAAATGACCTTAGCTGTTGAATGATAAGACTAAAGTCCCATAAATTAAACTAATGATAATGTGTCAATTGAAATCACAGATGCAACAAAATCCATCCAAGGAAGCTAGTGCCAAAGCCCGCAACTTCCTGAAAGTGATAAAGGAAAAGCAAACAGACTACTGGATGCATCTCATGATGGATGTAGTAAACACCCTCAGCTACCTTTCACAGGCCATACAGGAAAGGGAGAGCACAACCGCGGATATAACCATGGAAATAGAATGTGTCCTTTTAACACTGAAAAAGTACAAAACAAGGTACTTGATCCTTGACAGTGTCTTGCTATTCAAATGATTATGTCTAATTGCACGCCTACTTTGCTTAGTGCTTGCTCATGGTGGTATGGTCAATACAATATTGAGTGTTTTATCAATTACTGCACTAACTTATAGCTGCTAGTCTGTCATTGATAGCTTTCTGTCTAACATTTCACAGTATTCTGTAGTGTAGATATGAAATATCTGAAACTTATATTTCTGAATGCACCAATGTCTAGCTTACCTATTATTTCTGCATGTCTGCTTTTCCCTACTAAATCTTACTAATAATCATAGCAATGGTCCATTCCTGAGAGAAGTGATGTCATCCCTTGGTAACATGTCTTTCTCGGACTCCCTCATCTCCAGAAAAGACAAACTTCTTGACAACTTGATTGTAAATATTGAGGCAAGATTTGGAGGAGATTCAAACCTATTTAAAGCTTCTTCCATCCTCTCCTTAAAAACATGGCCTAGAGATCTGAACTTGGATATAGGTAAAGAGCTGCTGTACAAAACAATGTAATATCCTGAATATGGCGCTAATATTATTGTTCATTATTATACTACTAATGTATTGTAATTGCTCTGACAAGGACAAGGGTTTAAAGTATGAATGATGATTACTTTCTCTCTACAGACACGTGTATGTATGTTGAATTAGTTATAAAACTTCAAAGAGCTGATTGATGAAATGATATGTATTGTCCTTTAAAGATTTTGGGGATGAACACATGCATTCATTACTGCAAAGCTGTGGCCCAGCTCTAAAAGGAACCTGCCCTGACATACATCTAGAGAATATTGAACACGAGTGGACAAGACTTAAAACAACATTGGTATCTAGGTAAGCAGGCTTGCCTTCAAAATACCAACATGTTTTCAGTGACAATCTTATCTTTACTAAGTGTAATGTAATAAATATTAATGACATTTGGAATATTTCATTTCATTGGATTATGTATTTTCAGAAAGCGGGGTAAACCATCTTCACTGACAGAACTTGAGGAAGCCTTTGGGGAAGATTTTCCCAATCTTTTTCTGCTCTTCAACTACCTCCTGACACTGCCCGGGTCTTCTGTTGAGGCAGAAAGAGGGTTTTCCTGGTGGGTTTTTTCTTTTCTCTTTTTCAGATATACTGTTGTTTAAAATTAATTGTTTGGATTGAAGTAATTCCAACATTTTGGTTTTGTTGGACGGTGACTAATGGTATCCATGTACTCTTGTAGTATGAAAATTGTAAAAAATGACTGGAGGTCACGGTTAGGAGAGGACAATCTGTGTGACCTGATGCTTGTCACACTGGAGACAGCAGAAGTTGAAGCCTTTGATCCCCTTCCAGCCATTAACCTCTGGTATGGACAGGGCCAGAGAGCCAGACGTCCCTTCTACAAGGATGAGTTAAAGGTAGAAGAATTTTAAAGAATTTTTACATAATTGAAAATGATAACAAAATGATTCCTAGTTGCTAATCATGAAGTCAAATAAACAGTTATCACTTTTGAAAATAAACATTCCCCATTAGTGTTGGGATAGGCTGAAACTTCTGTTGAAACTGATGCCTTAATCTTTATGTCCATTTTATTATAATTCAGCGGTGTAACATTCCAAAGCAGATGGTAGTGTTGGATCCACAAACACAGGAACAAATTTCTGTGGAGGAAGACATCAGCTATGATGATCATCACATTTATCTTGATGAACAGCCTTTGGAGAACGTTGATGATGTAGGATCTACAGTTCTTGACAACTCCAGCAGTGATGAGGAAAGTGATGAAATGTCACACAGGGATTTGATTGAACTACAGCAAAAATCCTACAAGATGTTTATAGATGTTATGAAACAACAGTCAAGTGTTTTCTGAAACTACATAAAAAAATCATCTCTGCTTAGAACTTGTTTGTTTTTTATTTTGAATTTCATAACAAGAAAACAAGTAAAAATGGTGGATTGATTATCGGGCTACCAAGTTTGAGGCAGGGCTACCTGAAAAAATATTTTGGTAGCCCGGTGGGCTACCATGGTAAAAAAGTTAGTGTCAACCCCTGATAAAGGTGTCATCAAACGAGACATTATAGCAAGAAGAATGTCTCATATCTGTGGTAACTGGAAGAAGTAAAATAAAGAATTGGAGTTTTCAGCTCCAGCTAAAAACTGTTTCATGTGACTTGCAATTAAAAAAGTCACAATATAGAAACATTATTAAGTGTGCCTTACTTAGTACAGATCAGATTGTTGACTTGTTTTTAATGATAGTTGATAAATAAACACTATGTCTGGGTGTAATTTTTTTTCATCCTTTAATTTATATGTCAACATGTAAAACCTCTTGGAATGTAAGTCCCAATGGTCAGCTGACAAAGACTACAAAATTTTGAAATTTTAACCAAAGTCACCCTGAAAAGCTGTCATTCACTTTAATGAACCTGGAACACTTCATCCTGGCAGGCAACAGGCCAAATATCATCATTCTAGGTCATTTAGCTATAGAGAAGAAGATACATGTATTTGAAGATTTACCTCATCTGTCCCTGTGAACTTGAAAATGGGTCAAGGTCATTCATTTGAAGAAACTTAGTATTCTGTCATTCCAGCATCTGTTGCATTAGTATTAATGGGGCAAAATCCTTAATGTTTACAACCAAAGCTTCACAAACTGTTGATAGGATGTAAATAAGCTCAATAAACCAAACATAGACATGACAGGTATTCCTTTCTTGACCTGTTAACTTAAAATCTTGATTTAAGTTACATTTTTATAAGACAAAAGGATTACAAATGTTTGTGAAACCTGGTCCAAATGTGAACAGTAAATGATCAAAAAAATATTAAGAGTTTCAAATCTTTAATTCCAAGACATGAAATGTAAGTACATTTTATCAGAACATACTGCATATATATAAATGTTTATATATTTGCAAACTAAATCCTCTGTCTTGTACAATTTGAAAAAAACAAAATGTTTAAACTGAGAATGAGATTAAGAAACTATCTGTTTCCTTTAAAAACAATGTAATGAATATCACATGTAGATATAACACCCGAGTAAGCATAACAGAGATGCATTACAGCTGGTGACATTCACAATATTAAAATATATTATTCATATAAATTTGGCACAATAGTAAAATAAATATAAAAAAACCCAACAAAAAATGGAATGTTTGATTGAATACAGTGAAAAGGAGTCAAAATGGGCCTGAATCATCTGACACATAGTGGGTACATTTATTGGCAAATCAAAATAATTACATTTCACAAGAGGCCCGGATTGCCTGCAGCATAAAAGACATCCATAAGTAAAGTCATCCTTTATGAAGCAGCATCTGGCCATATATATCAACTATGTAAGAAAATTGTTCAAATGAGTTTAATTATTAATAAAAACAATTAACTTGTACCACATTAAAAAACTTCCTGTCTGAGTAAACAAGAGAATAATGAATGAAACGTAACAACCATTTTACCACACCCAATCTTTCCACAATTTTCAGGTGAATAATCAAAAGTTCTGTTTCATATTTGCTGTTGTTTTACAAACTCATGGAAACACTTTGATTCTATGCTTTATTTCCTCCCGACAAACTGGGCACGTGTTGCATATTGATCCACAGTCCATACACACAACCAAGTGACCGCAGTCCACGAAAACACAATTTGGATGCTTTCCATCTTCCATGCATACAACACATTCTGATGAGAGAAAAAAAAGTAATTAAGTGTTAACTGATACTAAAAACAGCAGTCAAGCGATACAAGCTTATCTTTATCATTCAAATTGTGATGACTGAATCTGATTCAAATCTGATCAAAAAGAGTTTACAACGAACAGTTAGGTAACAAACAAATAAAATATACATATTTAACAACAATATCAGAATTAATTCAATACAATTTTTTTTGATAAAATTTTATATTGTAATTGTGCATGCCTAGCCATTACAAGTTAGTCATTTTGAAATTCTATGAACTGATGAAGGTGGATGAATTGTTCCTATAGATATAATGTAATAAGCATATATTCTATCCTTACTTTCTTATTTATCATCTTCATTTTTTCCTTTTAGTACTTGTATTAGACTGGTCATTACACTCATTCTTTGTGCATTCTTTCCCTCATACCCCTTTCTTCCTTCTGTTTCTTTTCCTGATCAGCAATATAGCTCTTGAAAACTTCAACAATTTCATTCGCGCTTGACTTTCTTTGCTGTTTTGGAGGGTTATCTTTCCTGGTTCATTACTTGAAACACTTTCATCATCATCATCATCATCATTATTATCATCACTATCATCACCTAAGGGTCTCTTTGATGAGTTGGTAGATAGTGTAAATTTTGGTACTATACACGGATTCTGCCTAAAATTTCATCCAGTTCTTCCTCATACTCATAGGTTTTTGGGTTGTTGCCACTTTTCTTATTGTGGTCTTTAACGTTTTTGTAAGCTCTCATTAGAGACTTCCACCTTCCAGAAACTTGATCACAACAGAAACTGTAACCCTCTGATTGCAGTTCTTTTGCTATTTTTTTCCCAAAGTACTTTCTTACCAGATGAAACACTTTCTTCCAGTTTCTTGTATAAATCAATAAGCATCAGGGTTGCTTTTCTGTTCCATGTACATTTGCTTATAGGATTACCTTTCTCTGATGATGATGCTGCTGCAAGCGGATTTTCGTTAGAAGCATCACCGTTATTCATGATACAGTCATGGCGGTCAAAAATCTTCATGTCCAAAAACCATCCTTTCCAGACATCGCATTCAAACATTGTCCTGTCCTCACTGTCTCCAACATCTTCAATGTTTCTCGAACTTGTGGTGCTGGCACTCGAGCATGTAGCAGTATCACCAGCAACTGTTAATGAACAGGTAGACAGGTGAGTGTAAAATAATATGAATGTCATTGTCATGTAAGCATAGATCTACATCTGTTTCTGGGGGGAAAGTATGAAGGTGGTTTCAATGGCTCTGTAACATTCAAGTGGTGCTATCTTTGTTTTTGAGACTGACTGCAGTTTGACACACAGGTACTTGGGGTCAGGACCTTACTTCACAATAATATTGTTTGATTTACATTTTAATATCTACACCTGTACATCAAAACAACTTGTCAGTTTCACTTTGTATTGATGCATGGAAATGGTATACGGTTAAAACGGCCTCACTGTAGTGACGGCCCCAGTTGAAACGGCCCTACCTGTATATAGTCAAAGTAGGGCTTGTACAGAGATAGTTAGTATCGCATTAAGTTGTTAATCATTAAAACTAATTTTGATAATTTAAAACAATATATTGCAATGAAATGATGATTAATAAAAAGAATTAACAAGAGAGTTAAATGATGTTTTGTGTTTGTCTTCATTTAATCTATATACATGTATAAAGCTTTTTTTCCCTAGCGTATTTTGTACGTTTTAACACTTTAAGACATGTATTAGTTGTATGTAATTTTCGATGATTTTTAAGACTTCGTTTTTCAATGGAAATTATTTAAATTTCACATAGATGTAGATGATGAATTACTCATTTCTCTGATAATATTTATATAATTTTTCGTTGCTTACCTTTTCTGAAATAGATGAATATGTGCAACATTACAAAACTCCGACGTCATTTTGTTCTTTATTCCTACTAAATAATTCAAATGCTAATGTTTGGAAAATGTTAACATGCAATATCTTCTTGATATCAGCCACGGAATACTACGGTTATAATAATAAACATTTGTTATATTATATATTATTAGTAGGGCCGTTTCTGTAGTGGGGCCGTTTTTACAGTGAGGCCGTTTTAACCCGGATTCCATGGAAATATATATATATACACATATCATATGATGTTAAAATGTAAATTCAATCCCTTTATTGTGAAGTAAAGTCCCGACAACGGGGGCTAATCACAAAAAAAAATCGGCACTGTACGATGCATAACTGACTTTGCAGACGAATGGGGGGTCAGAAGATGCCTACCTAGGCATCTTTCAAACATTCCTCTGCAGTCAGTTATACTTCCCTACAACCGATTTGTTTGTGATTAAAATAAAACGATCCATGCTTCTGTGTACTAATGATAATGCAATATTTTTTTGAATGGAGTAATATAACTAATTTTACAGCACATGAAGTAATGTACATTGTATGGCCAACTCATGCAAATGTATCTTCCATTTAATAGCCAATATTCAGAGTTATTTAAGTCATGCTTTTACTTTGAAAGTCTCATATTTGGAGGATATGATTCACCTACCAGCTTCAGTACATCTGTGTTGCATTGCTGCTGCTAATGTGCAGAAGAAAACGCCGCAATTACATCTGTAAAAGTTCGAGGAAGCCATGTTTGTGACGTCACTGTTCCAGCTGCACCACCTATTTCGCGGGCACAGCCCGGACAAGTTCCGGACACTGTTTCAGTGTACTTTATTGCTGTTCTGACTGTGCGGAACGTTCTGGACAGCGAATCGAGCGCAGCCTATGTTTTACCGGATACGGATTTTAATATATACTTTGTAATATAAGTAGACAAAATGTATGAGTTGTTCACATATCCAGCTTACCAGAAGTCAGTTATGTTGATGATGGGTTTGTAATCATTATTCCCTAGTTCATTGCCTGCACTTAACTAATGGGTTAATTAAAACCGGATACTTGGATTTAATATTCATTATTAAAACTGGTAAAATACCTCCACAATGCCTCAAATAAACATTAACTGGTGTAAAGAGAGGAATTCGCTGTCCACCCCGAATGTATGCAAATCCTTCAAAGCTAGAGCGGTGTCCAGTATATATGTACAAATTGTATGAAGCGAAACGTCCGTCAGACTTCTGCATTCCCCATGACCCTTTATATATTGCAGCGGTGACCAACAACCAAAACCCCAAACCCAACGGGCGATGGTTTCTGAGGGGTCCGATAGGTAAAAACAAACTTGAGTATAATGAAACAAATGGCGACTTCTGCCGACTTACCTACATATAAGAAATATACAAACACCAGTGTAAGAAAAACACTCGTGCAGACAATGACCGATCACAACATTCCGGACCATCTCCAAGTGTATGTAACTGGACACAAAAACACACAGAGCTTAAATAATTACAGAACTTTAAATGCTGTTCACAA